CATGCATGCCTGCCCTGGGGCGAAGCTATGACTCGAGGGTGGTCAATTGAACACCCTTCGTCGAGAAATTATACTATGTATAAAGTAAAATATTACTTGTTATTGATTAAAAAATAGACTTTGAACACCCTTACATATAGGGCTATGCATGGATCGGATCGGATCGGATTTAGCATATTTCGGATTGAAATTTCGGATTTCGGATTCCACAAATTGCAATCTGAATCCGATCCGAATTATATCGGATTGGATCGGATTTCTAAATTTCAGATCGGTTTGGTGATCGAATTTTCGGATCGAATTGTACGTATTATTAAGGAGTGTGTATAACTGTATATGGATAATGGATGTTACATAATACAATAGCATTTAAAAGAACAAAAATAGCAAACAAATGACTATAAATTACAGTACCTCAAAAATAGCAAACAAATCTCTACCTCATCTTCCATCTATGAAACTAAACAAAAAATTAAAATTAAAATCGAATTCAAAATAGTAGTATAGTATGGTCTATTTCTGTTTAAGAAAATCAAGAGTGAAACCCCTAATTTATTTCATCAATTTTATCCAAGAAATAAAAGAGAACAAAGAGACCTAACCCTAGTGTCTTTCTTAAGAATTTCATCAATTCTTAGTGTTTTACCAGTTACCAGTGCGGTCGCCGGAACACAGAGAAGAGATAGAGGAAGCGACGAGCAGGAGGGAGCAGCTTGAGGCGTCATGTGAAGACTGAAGTGAGCAGCACCAGCACATCAGTCTCTAGGTGTGACTTGTGAGGCGTGAAGAGTGAAGACTGAAGCCGTGAAGTGAGGACTGAGTCTGAGGCGTGAGAAGTTCTTAATAAATCAAAAAGACCTAATGCACCTAACGCATGAAATAAGGCAACAACATCAAAAATTTGCTTCTGAGAATTAGACTGAGGCAGAATGAAATAAGACCTAATGCACCTAACCCTAAAAATAAAATTAGTATTTATTATTCCCTTAATAAATTCGGATTTCGGATCGGATCGGGTTCAAACTATACAAATCCTAATCCAATCCGAAAATCCGAAATTTTAATAAATCAAATCCGAATCCGATCCAAATATCCGAAATCTGAATTTGAGCGGATCGGATCGGATTTCGGATATACGATCCAAATGCACAGCCCTACTTACATAGCCCACTGGCAAAGGGTGTTCAAAACCCTTATTGAATTTCCTGGCTTCGTCACTGCCTGCCTGCCCCCTCCCCCCACCATCTCTTCTCTCTCCCTTCCGTACGAAAGAGCTAATATCCAAATTCTTTTGGGATTACACGAGTAGCCGACTGGCTTTACTATTTACTTTTTTAGTTGGTATATAATATTATATATTGATTATATATATCTTATGTGAAAACATACATATATTATATATTTATTCCGTCATTTTTAATTTAAGTGATTGAATAGCCGCATATCTAAGTTAATACTTCAATTCTTTTCTAGACTGATACTAGTTCTAACTATCTGGCCCATTTACTTCCAGAAAGCCCATTGGATCTTCTTCAGTCAAGTTGGTATCAGCTGCATTTGAGTTGCACAAAAAGTATTGGCCGTCCTAAAGAAAGAGGGTTAATGCTAAGTTGATAATCAGTGTGAAAAAAGGCAATACTATACATGATTCCAAGTATCATTTGATAAAGAAATTGCTATAAAGTAATCAATAGCAATATAAGAGCTGCATGATTGTTTTCATGCACGCTGTCTACAAATTTTGAACGCGCAATCATATTTCTTCTAGTATATTATTTGTATTTGCTACTCCTGTTTGCTAGTTGTGCGCGGGAACACAATCTAACAACTCATTAAACCCTGATATCCAGAAAAAAAGAACTCGGGTATTAAAATAATCAAAACAAAATAATGACAATTCTCGAACCCATTGATGAGAAAGATTAACCGAAAATCAACGTAGAGATCGACCTAATAATTATTTCTCTTTTTAGTAGGGTTATGCTTTAAATTAAAGGCAAGTCCACGATCCATCCATGACTATTTACCATAAGACTACTTTATAATCACTTAACGTACATGCTCTTTGCTCTTTGACATGCTTTAATCCAATTGATACTCTTCAGCCGAAAAATTAGACTAATAAAATTATTTTTTATGTGTATATAATGGCTCTTTGATATTTCTATATATTTTGACTTCCTTTAATATAAGAATTTTAGTTCTGTCATTGTCTGCCAGTCCTATGCATTTTATTAAATAGTAAATAAACATCTGAAATATTAAACTAGAGTAAACCAAACTTCACAAATATAAAGAGCGTGCACACTACACCTAATGAAGGTGCTGCCAAGTTTATTTCGTTGTCCTTGTCCAAGTTGCTTGCTTGCAATGTTGTGCTTAATACACTTTTTCTTGTTAGTTCGTTCACTAAATACTGATATACTTTTATATTTAAAAATAATTTAACTTTAAATTTTTTATTTCATCATCTTACCCTTAAAATATACTTTTATAACCACGTAAATTTTAAGCTATACAATTAAGATCGTAAGTTTTAAAAAGTTTCTTTTATTTTGATACTCCGTACTAAGTCAAACTATATCACATAAATTGAAACGGACAGAGTGAATTGTTTGTTGCAATAAATCACTTGTTTATTATTATTATTATTATTATTAGATTATCAAGTCACAATAACCATAGTTATTACCAATAATTAGTTTTAAATTTTATACGATGAATATATAAAAGCTGAACTCATAAAAATAATTGGTCAATTAAATGAATCATCTGCATCTAAAAGGTGGTTACTGACAGTGTAAAGCACAACGTCCGACAGCTTTATCCCTCGTATACGTATTTAATTAATCCACTTAAGTCTGATCAAACTATCTTGGATCGTTAAAACACAGCTATTTTGCCTTTTGCTCTTCTTTTCTTTTTTGCATAAAGTGTAGAGCTTGTCTTTAAGTACTCCATTATTATATTTTAAAGAGAAGGAAGTATGGTCTTCGTCTTGGAATCCACAAATTTGCTGTAAACATTCTTCAAAAAACCAGACCGGCCCGTTCTTTATGGCTGGCATGTTTTTATACTCGAAAATAAAATATTATAAAATCCTTAATTTTGTTTCTTTTCGCCTTTGCCCAACACAAGAGGGAGAGTAACATCTAAGAGTTAATAATATCACAAGTTAATTAATAATTTTAGCTAAGACTCACAGCAACGGCAGAAAGTAAGAAAAGAAGGATAATAAAACCATAAAATGAAACCAAATCGAAGATTGTGGCTATGTGGTTTAATAATAAAATGAGATAACAATGTGCTCTTTTATTTTTTATAAAGAATTTGAAACGAAATTGTTTACCCTAAAAATAGGATAACAATTAAACTTATAATGTGATTTTAAGGACACGTGATTTCACCTAATACCAATTGATAAAAGTAAAGATAAGTAATGAAAATTGATAATAATGCAAAACAAACCAATGCTTGGAGAGAGCTTTTGAGCTAGTACACCCTCGAGCTAGTAGAGCAAGAACAGTTAAAAGGCAGCAAACTGATAAAGAGAATGTAAATTAAAAAGAGAATAATGTAAAACAAACCAATGCTTGGAGAGGCTACAAATGATGGGGACTCCTCTTTATATATTAGAGGAATCCTAATTATGGTATAACTCTAATTACAGAAGTAAATCCCATGATTAGCCTAAACAACCACCCTTTATTTGATTTGTTTTGGGATTTTCATCATGATCTTCAGCCGGTTACGGATATCTCGCCTTTACATTATTGCGTTTCGTTCGAAGTCTGTCATATATGGTCTCGACCGTTGTTGGACTCGATCTCGACGAGCACCTCGATTCTCGAGCTCGACACCTTATCTTTGTGCTCTGACCTGATCCAATACGAGATTGACCTTCGACATAATTCCCTGGTCTCGATTAAATGGCATAATCAGGCAAGCCATATTTTAACCATATATAGATAGTCCCCTCGTTTCTTGGACTGTAACGAGAAGAAATGAACTGAGCCTTCGATTTTATACCTCGATCAAGTATGATGTCACCCTTGTGATGTAAGCGTCGGAAATGACCGAAGCGTCACGTCGGTACAGTTTCCAAAATCATTAATGAGCGTCAGTTGATGGTCGGTCACCAGCTTTGAACCGGTCATCGCAAACATTATAAATAGGTCTTCATCATAATTTTCTCAAACTTTACTTTCAAAACTTCCCTTAATCTTCAAAGCACTCTACTTCCTTCAAGTTTTTTAAATTCTGCAAGTTCTTCAAATCTTGTTGTCAATCTTTTCTCAAAACAACAAATCCCATCTTCTTATTTCTCTGAATCCATAAAAACGGCAAAAAACATCTAAAATTGTTCTCCAAAAGGAAAAAGCTTCTTCATCGCGACCGACCGGCGATAAAACACTGGTGGAGCCACGCCTCGAGGAGTGTGTTCCTATGGGTGTGATCTTACTTCCAAATTCAAAGGCGAGAAATCTTCGTCAGTCCCTGGCTAATGCGAGCCAATGTCGAGATATATATGCTCGATAACTGAGGACGACCTCGAGCAGGTGAAGAAGGATTGCAACTTGGGAGACAAAGAGGTGTGATTCCGACTCCTGAAGAGGACATCATCACTTACGTGAAAGGGTGGTTTCTAAAATTTTACACTTACCCTTTCACGCTGGGCCCCGTCGATCCCATCATCATCGACTTTTACCGCCAATACCGAGTAACCCTAGGTCAAATCCACCCCTTCTTTTGGTGGATCGTTATTCTGATCTAATTCTTTGTGAGCAAGGTTGAAGGGATGCCTTTCACCCTCAACCATCTCATCAGAATGTACAGCCTCCGTCTATATCGAGGCGGGTTTATAAGGCTTCCGAGTCGGGCTACCAAGGTATTGTTATCGAGCATCGATAAGGACAAAGATCGAGGATGGATGGGCCGATTCGTCCGAGTATGCTGACATAATATCGGCCAAGAAGATGTCATTCCATGAGGAATGGAACATGGAGCGTAAGTACAAACTCCACCCATGGCCTCCTTTTACTGTGTTGTTTCCTTTGCCTTTTCTCATTGATATTCCTTCCTATGATGCAGTGGTTTCTTGGATGCCTGGTGCAATTCTGAACCTTGAGGGTTGGGTTCAGAAATTGGCATTGACCTCTTCATATGTTGAGCGCTCATGGCGCGATTTGGCAAGGGGCCGATAGGAGGCCAAAAATTATGGTATGCTTCTTTCATGTATTTGATGGTATTTTTCTGAAATCTTTCCTTTCTCATTCACATGATCTCTTTTTATTCACACAGGCCTAGGAGACCATGCCGCCATGAGGCCCCCGTCTGGGGAGGATGAGGTTTCACCCCCGATCCCGAAGACGTTGAAGGAGAAGAAAAGAAAAAGGATCTCGCCCTCCGATACTCCAAAGTCTAAAAAGAGCAAGGCTCGTAAGTCAAAGAATGATACCGCCTCCCTGCCTGCCGATGTAGCTCAGTGACTACGAGATGAAAAAGAGGAGAAAAAAAAAAGATGCTGACTCCGAACTGGTGGCTCGAAATTAGAGCACCGAGGTCCCAAAAGCCATTGAGCCGCTGACGATCAAAGAGGTTCAGCCTCGGACCGAAGGGATCTCGGAGGGTGGCCCGAGAAAAGTCCCTGAGTCCTCGGAGGTTGAAGATGCCTCCCACCATGATGAGCAATCAGCGGATTTACCTAAAGGGGCCAGTTTTGAGGCCCTTCGAAACGAAAAGAATGCCCCAAGTGACTTGCTTGGGGAAATAGACGTTGATGATTCGCCTCCCCTCCCCACATTCTCCGAGGAGAAATTTCAGGAGGCCCAGGCAATGGAGACCCCCAATGTACGAATGGCCCATAAAGGGGAGGACCTCTTTCACGGTTACTTCATGGGAGTCGAGAATGCTTTCGATATGGGTGATGCATCGAGTATCTTCGATGAGGCTCATCGACTCCTAAGTCAGGTAAGCCTTAGCTCCCTTTTATCAATACTATTTTTTCCTTTGTTTCCTTTTGCTTGATTCTCTTTCTTTCTTCATAGGCTATGACGCTTCATCGGGGAGCATTTTCTAAATACCGGGCATATCTGAACCGGTGTGAGGCTGATCTGAAGAGGCTCACAAAGGAAAAAAGATGCCCTAAAACTTCTTAGTGGGCAAAAATAAGAGGATATCAAGGACCTCCGAGCTGAACTGGAAATAGCTCATAAAGGGCAAACCGACTTGATTGAGCAGATAATGTAAATTTTTTGGAAGCTCGATATATTAATTCGGGAATGACGTCTAACACTTCGATCCTGCAGGTTCAGCAGAAGGCCAAAAAGATCGAGCAACTTCGTGAGGAGGCCAAGATGAAGGAGGTAGAGACTTTGAGGTGGAAGCAAAACATGGAGCGCCTTGCTTCGGAGAAAGATACTGCTCGAGCCCAGTTGTCTTCGGCCGAATGTAAACTCCAAAGCATGAAGGAGGAGAGCTTGGTCGCAGCCAATAAAATTGAGGAGCTCAAGGCTCAGTTGGTCGCTGAGTTTGCAAAGGCCACATCTGAGGCAGAAAGAGTAAAGGCTGAAGTTGAGGTGATCGTGGCCGTCTATCGAGCTGATGCTAAAGCTGCTCAAGTTCGAGCAAAGGAGGTGGCTGACACCACCCAGACTCTATCGTACTAGCTGTCGAGCATGCCAAATACCAGTCTCGAAGAGAGACTCTTGAGGAGATACATGCTTGTGGCTTTGACCTTACTATCGATATTGAGAACGCGAAAATACTCGAGGACGAATCCAAAGCAATGGTCTCTTCTGATGATGATTCTGGGAGCTCGAGTGAATCCGAGAGTGGAGAGGATGAAGATGAGGCTCCCGGGGAAGATTAGGTACTTAGAATTTTTTCTTTTTCGAATTTTTTTATGTAAGACCCCTAAATGGTCTTTTTAAATATTTTTGCATATATATGAAAGATCCCTTGACTCGTCTCTAAACTCTGTTTTGCTTTTCGCCTTACGATAATTTTGTCGAAGTCAGATTAGTATAGTTTCTTTAATTGAGTGAGTACTTGCTCGAACTCGGGGTAGAAAAAACCATTAGTTTTCAGTTGAGTGAGGATGACTTCTCGAACCCAAAAACTAAAATGGCCATTAGGCTTTTGAATTAGGCCGATATGGATTTTAAAATGGCTTTTCTCCCTTTCCAGCTTAAAAAGTTTAATCATATATAAATTTGTTATGCCTTGCACGAGATAAATCTGTTCTCATCAAGATTTTCAAGGGATAGTGTTATCGAAACCCTTTACTTTATTATGCCTTAGTATAAGTTTGTTCGAGAGTTCGAACAATTTGGTACCCCTTAAGGTATTTGAGAGTTGATGTTATCGAAACACTTTATAATTTTGTTGAGGGTAGCCTTTTTTAATCGGTTTTATGAAAATATTTGAAGGCCTGTTTTAGTACGGAATTCGAACGTCTCTGAACCGTGTTAGTTTAGCCGTATCCTTTAACTTGAGATTTGCCCTTTGGGCTTGTTTATCAATAATACTTCAAACTTGTTCGAAGTACCAGTTCTCGAGTGGGGTGGCCATGGCCTATAAAATCGAGTATCGCCTTTTTCAATGTCTTATGGCCTCGAAGTTTAATAATTCGAACATGTTGATTTTAGGACGCCAGTCCCCGAGTACGGAGTTGGTATCTCAAGCTTTAGTGGCGATCAGTGCTTGGGCAGTTTCCGCAATAGATCATAAGTAAAGTATAAATTTCACTAAGGCATGGAACATGTGGTAAGTAAAAAAATACTTCTTTTAATAGATCATTCATGCGTACATGTTTTTCCATTGGGGCTCGAGTAGTCTACAAGGACACAGTTCATTTGATCGTCTGGACCTTTACAAAATTTTACCTATCGAGACTTGTTAATACAGAGTATTTTCCTTGAGAACAAAACATCCGAGGGTGATGCCCCCCAGTATTCGAGGTGGATTGTAAACAAGCCTCGGATACTGTTGAATTGTCCCCAGAGAGCACAAATAATTATTGCCTCGTTAAAAACCTCGCCGGAAAAACCCATTTAGGACAAATATCAATCTAAGGGGAAAAAAGTACAATGCGTGCTTTAAAACCTGAGGTCTTTAAGTTGAAGAATTTCTCAATGTCTTCGATCGAACACCTGCAATAAGTTAGTATCAAATACAAATGAAAAGGAGAAAGTCATACCTTAGTGATAATATCGTTTGAGGAGTGATATGTTCCAATTATTTGGCAATTGTTCGTCGTTCGTCGTGCCAAGTTTGTAAGATCCCTTTCTGATGACACCGAGGACCTGATATGGTCCTTCCCGATTTGGACCGAGTTTCCCTTTGTTCGGGTCTCGAGTGTTGAGGGTGACTTTTCTCAGAACTAAGTCCCCAATTCAAAAGTGGCAAAGACTGGATCTTCGGTTGTAGTATCTTTCAATGTGCTGCTTCTCTGCTGCCATTCTGACGAGGGCGGCTTCCCATTTTTCATCTAGGAATTCGAGGCTTGTGTTCATAGCCTCATGATTTGACTCTTCCATTGTGTATCGAAACCTGATGCTGGGTTCCCCGACCTCGATCGGAATCAGAACCTCGGCACCATATACTAAAAAAACGGTATTTCCCCAGTACTAGATTTTGACGTAGTTCGATATGCCCAAAGGACTTTGGGAAATATTTATCTCCATTTCCCCTTAGCGTCGTTCAATAATTTCTTTAGATTCTAAATGATGGTCTTGTTTGTTTATTCGGCCTGTCCGTTCCCACTAGGATGATATGGCGTCGGCAAGATCTTTTTTATATTTTGATCTTTTAGGAACCTTGTTACTTTGTTGTCGATAAATTGTTTTCCGTTGTCGCATGCTATCACGGCGGGTATCCCAAATCGGCATATGATGTGATCCCAGATGGAGTTTATGACTTCTTTTTCCTTGACTTTCTCGAAGGCCTGTGCTTCAACTCATTTAGAGAAATAACCAGTCATTAATAAAATAAATTTAGCTTTACCTAGGGCCGATGGAAGAGGGATGACGATATCCATCCCCCATTTCGTGAACGGCCATGGGGATAGGACTGAGTGAAGTTGTTCCCCGGGCTGGTGGATAATAGGCGCATACCTTTGACATTTTTCGCATTTTCAAACAAATTATTTAGTGTCTTTTTCCATATCGGTCTAATAGTATCCTGCCCTGATGACTTTGTAAACCAACGATTCGGCACTGGAATGGTTTCCGCAAGTGCCCTCATGGATTTCTCGTAGAACGTAATTAGTGTATCCTGGTCCCAAACACTTTGCTAATGGCCCATCGAACGTTCTCCTATATAACATTCCATCCTCAGCCAAAGTGAATCGTACAACCTTAGTGCGTAGAGTCCTCGATTCTTTAGGATTCAATGGAAGCTTCTCGTTCTTTAAGAATTCGATGTACTTATTCCTCCAATCCCAGGTTAAACTTGTGGAGTTTATCTCGGCGTGCCATTCTTCGATCACTGACCTTGAATGTTGTATGATAGTACCTGAGCTAAGTTCATCATCTTCAATTGATGACCCCAAATTTGCAAGGGAATAGGCCTCGCTATTTTGTTCCCGAGGCACGTGCTATAGCGTCCATTCTTTAAATCGATGTAGAGAAACTTGTAATTTGTTTAACTACCTCTGCATCCGATCTTCCCGAACCTCGAAAGTCCTGTTGACCTGATTTACTACAAGTTGGGAGTCACACTTGGCCTCGATGAACTCTGCTCCCAAGCTCTTAGCTAGCTCGAGACCTGCAATCATGGCCAGATACTTGGCCTCATTGTTAGTCAATTTCAAAGTTTTAATAGACTGTCTAATTGTATTTCCTATGGGCGACTTCAAAATGATGCCTAGCCTAGACCCCTTCATATTTGAAGCGTCGTAAGAGGGTCCACACCCCCGAGGATGTACCCGATTTTAATAATAGTTCCTTTTCGACCTCGGGTATGAGGGCTAGCGTGAAGTCAGCCACAAAATTTGCCAAGATTTGAGACTTGATGGTTGTTCGGGGTTGATGCTCAACATCGTACCCGCTAATCTCGACAGTCCATTTGGCCAATGGGCCCGAGAGTTTGGGCTTGTGCAAAAAGTTGCGAAGGGGTAAGTGGTTACAACTCAAATTGGGTGACATTGAAAACACGGTTTTAATTTCCTAGAGGCGCTTATTAGAGCAAGCGCTAATTTTTCTAAGTGTGGGTACCGGGTCTCTGCTTCACCTAAAGTTCGGCTAAGATAGTAAACAGGAAATTGCGTACCTTGCTCTTCTCGAACTAGGACACCACTTACCGCAACTTCTAAGACTGCCAAATATAAGTAGAGTTGCTCGTCTTCTTTCGGAGTATGATGCAATTGGGGGATCGAAAGATATCGTTTTAACTCTTCCAATGCATGTTGTCTTTCCGAGGTCCAAGCAAAATTGTTCTTCTTTTTGATCAGTGAGAAGAACCTGTGACTTCGATCCGAAGACCTCGAGATGAACTGGCCTAAGGCGGCTATCCGCCCTGTTAATCTTTGTACGGCCTTAACGTTGTCCACGACTGTGATGTCATCGATTGCCTTGATTTTATCAGGGTTGATCTAGATTTCCTGATTTGATACCATAAAGCCGAGGAACTTGCTCGAAACAAACCCCGAATGCACATTTCTCGGGATAGAGCTGCAGGTTGTATTTTTTCAATATGTTGAAAATTGAAAATTAACTTGGACCTTGATTTCCCGTCTAGAATTCTTGGCCATCTGAACCTCCTAAATTCTCTCCTTCGTTTAGATGTGTGGTAGGAACATCCTGATCCGGTGATTAGATCAGATTTGCGGCATGCTTTGTCAAGCGCTGGATTGTGTTGGATAATTTGTTTTAGGGCAGAGCGCTTCGTACAAATGTCATACAATGCGACGAAAAAAGCTTGCCTGATGTAACCAATTTGTGGGATTGTTATGGACTGAAACGTTTCTTCAATAGGTCGGCTTGCCAACAGCTTTGGAAGGGAAGAGACAAAGTCTTGCTTCAGGTTGATGTCTCTGCCGATTTCAAAGTATATCTTTGCCATTTTTTGAAAATGCCTGTCAATGTCATTTCTGTCGAATGACACACACTTCATCTCGAAGAGTTGTCTTCACATTTTCTCCTGTCTTTGGCCAGTATCTCCGCAGAACACTTCATGTAGGATCCTGATGTTGAAGGCAAAATCTTGGGAAGTAAGAAAAGTATTTTTGTCTTGAATTCCAAGTGAGTTCCACCAATCTCTGAGGATTCCTGAGAACCATGAAGTTAGTTCTGACAGGATGATATACTTTTCTCGTTCCACCAAATATTTGGTCACCATCCAAGTATAGAAGTCTTGGATCCTTTAAGGCCATTTTGAAACCTTGACGTCATCTAAGGTGAAAGTGTGGAAACCAGTTCCAACTGGTTTTGACGCCATGGGCTCATATCTTTTTTCTGGGATTGGTTCATCTGTCATGCCTTCTTGTTCCTTATCTACTTCAAATATTTCTAGGTCTCTTGGCTGGTTTACAAATTTTGGGGGATCGTCGTCTTCGGAAGAGTTTGATGTGGATTCATTGCTTAATTAAGAGTTATCTTCCATTGTTTCATCGTCTGATGAATTTAGAGATTCCGACCATGGAGTATCTTCTTCTGATAAATATCCTGGCTGGGAGACATAAAGGTCTGGAGCCTTCTAGTCAGAAATCATCAGATTTTCGGGGTTCGATCCTTTTGAACTTTCTCCTTGGTCTCGCCTTTTCTTGGTTTGTTTTTGGGCTGTAAAGGCATCTTTCCTTTCCCAAACCATTTTTGCGATATCAAAATCATGTTCTTCTTTTAAATGTTAGGTGAAAGAGATTGGATTTTG